ATTGCACCCCTGGGCCTGGCTGGCTGAGCCTGGGACAACACAGGCCTCTCTCATGCTGCAGAGCTCTCATCCCTGCCCGGAAGTGACCAAGAGATTCCCACTGTGATTATTTCTGGCAATCTGGTGCCATCTCTTATCACTCCCCTCCCCCATCCCAAATAAAAACCCAGCATTCCTTCCCCCCTTCCTCTCACCTCCCTGAAATATTAGAAGAATGTTTTTCCATTTCCTTTGATGTCTTTTACAAGTTGCATCTCATTTCCTGCTTGGGCATTTCTGACCTCCAGTGACTCTAACCCTGGATGCCTGCCGTGGCTGTCTGCCTTGTCTGTGTGGTAGGTCCCCTTCTTGGTGCTCCACCCAGAAGCCAGATCAAGGGGATTCTATCCTCCTTATGCAGCCACTGGCCATCTCAATTTCCTCCCACCTTTCCCACCTTCTTCTCTGCAACCCTGAGGTGCCAGTCTGCTTCCCGGAGCTTTTTCCTTTTTTTTTTTTTTTTTTTTTTTTTTTTTGTACTGGGGATCGAACTTGGGTTCTTGCACCACTTTCAAGACAGGCAGCGGAACCACTGAGCCAAATCCCTGGCCCTGGGAGCTTTTTGAAGACCTATTCTCTTCATTTTTGTTTTTTTGTTTTTGTTCTTTTTCTTTTTTTGCAGAACTGGAGATCGAACTCAGGACCTTGCGCTTACTAGGCAGGCACTGGCACCAATGAGCTAAATCGCTGGCCCTCATTTTGGTTTTGGTTTTTGGTTTGGTTTGGTTTGGTTCGGTTTTTCCCCCCTGGTTCTCTTCAATCTGCCACCTCAGATTGGTTGAGCTAGGTGAAGGAGGCCTAGGACTCCCAGCACTCCAAGTATGCAGAAGCTGTTCTGGATGCCCCAAGACTGGCAGGAAACTGAGGAACCCTCAGTGTAGCATGGGCTGGGGGCTCCTACCCAAGATTGGCTCCACAAGACCCTAAAGCTCCAGGGAGAAAACTGAAACAAAATCCTTAAAATGAGCCATTGAAAAACAGCATAAAAAGAGAAAACAAACCAATCATTTGGGACCATGAGGCAAGTAACTATGGGCAGGTGACAGTTCATGGGAGAGACGACAAGGTGATTTTTGATCACGTGAAGACCAGAGTTGTTTGAAAGAATTCAAGGAGCATCCTCACTTCCCTTCTTTCCTTCTTTCTCTCTCTATTTCTTTCCTTCACTCCTCTTCCCTCTCCCTCCCCCCAACCTCCCCACACCTGTATTTCAAAGCATCTTCAAGAACCAACACTAGTACCTCAGGATAGGTCCTTAACTGAGTTCTGGGACTCAGGAATATGGGAGGGCAAAGCCCCAAGTCCCTGACCCTCTGGGGCACCATAGACCAAAAAGATCACTCAGCACAGAGGGTGATGTTTGTGAGTGGAGTTTGCATAAGAATAGACACTTGTCCCCAGCTAGACTCCTCCATAGGACCAGCCTTAGGTGCTGGGGTTGGAGCTTCACCGGCAGGTCAGTGTCCTTCCAAGACTCCACCTGTGTGCGTCCCTGTGGTTCAGCACTGCTCCCCTACATAAGTGCCAGACCAACCCTCACCTGTCAGGCGCCTCAGATGGTGGGTACCTTAGTCCGTGAGTGCGGCTGTAACAAATTTCCTGGGGCTGGGTAATTTATAAAGAACAGAAATTTATTCCTCACCATTTTGGAGGCTGGCAAGTTCAAAATAAAGCACTGGTAGACGCAGGGTCTAGAGAGGGCTGTTTTCCCCTTCAAAGATGGTGCCTCACTTTAAGGAACAGATGCTTTTTTTTTTTTTTGCTTTTTGTTTTTTTGAGACAGGGTCTCACTACGTAATTGAGACTGACCTGGAACTCATTATGTAGCCCAGGCTGGTCTCAAACTCTCAGCGATCCTCCTGCCTCAGCCTCCCAAGTGCTGGGATTACAGGTGTATGCCACCATGCCCGGCTGCAGTTCATGTAGTTTACAGTTGTTCGGGGGAATGGTTACATGGATATATTATAGCATGCTTCTCTTTTTTTTTTAAATCCTCTCCCCCCACACACCCTCTTCTTCTAGTCCCCCAGCCCATTTTTCATTCTTGTTGGTATTATTTGTCTTAGCTCATGTTATGGTATATATTGTTTACATTAATTGGGTTTATTAGTTTTCTGTGGATGGCATACTTTATTCTTCTTACTTCCCCTTCCCTCCTTCCTCACCCCTCACCCTTATTTCCTTGGTTCACTTCCCTATTGCAAGATATTCATCCCCTTGTCCCTTTCTATCCATCCTTTATCATTTTCTCTGTTTGTACTTTACCTAACTCGAGTGAGAAACATCATACAGTATGTGTTTGGTTTATTTCACTGAACAGTGTATTTTCCAGCGCATCCATTTCCTTACAAGTGTCTCAAATTTATCATTCTTTATAGCCAAATAGTATTCCATTTTATATAGATATCACATTTTCTTTATTCAGCCACCCATTAATGGGTGTACAGGCTGTTTGCAGGATTAGCTGCTGTAAACATTGGTATGCATGTATTGATGTGGTAGGGTGACTTAAACTCTTTGGGGAAGATGCCTAGCAGGGCAATAGCTGGGTCCTGTGGAATTTCTGATTTCAGCTCTTTGAGAAAGCTCCACACTGCTTCGCGTTCCCACCAACAAGGGAGGGTTCCCTCTTCACCACAGCCACATGAGCATTTGTCACTGTGTGATTTCTGGATGATGGCCTGAAAGCGGTCTCTTTTCTAAGTGCCCTAATCTGTTCAGGAAGGAGGCACCCTTGAGACCACCTCTTAATTCTATTACATTAGCCATTGAGTGCCAATGCCAGGGTTTGCAGGACAGCAGCTCACAGCCACCATTGCCCTGGCCTTTACAGTCTGGCATCACTGCACCCCCAGGGCCCAAGGCCCTGTTGTCTGGACCTTAGGCTCTCACCCAGGACTGAGAGTGCTCTCCGATGATCGTCAACATGAGAATCCCAGGGCACAGGAGAGGGTGGGGGCTCCTTGGTGACTGTACCGACCAGTGCACATTCTCCATGTCTGAACTCAAGCAAAGGCTGGGGTCAGTACCAGCCAAAGCAGGGTCCCAATAGACAAAGAGGAAGGGTTCATATTGCCATTGGTTGCCCCTCACACACCCAAAGAACACCGGTGCAAGACAGGCCTGCACAGGGTCTCTAGTCCCATGCTTCCTTTCAGAGAAGGGAAACTGAGACCCAGAGAAGAAAGAGTCTTGTCCTTTGCCTCCCTCATCATAGTTGTCCTGCCCTACATCAAGGCCTGTGAGAGGGTCAGAGCACAGGCAAGGAGATGGAGGGTCAGAGGGGAGACAATCAGAGCCTCAGTGCTGGTCACAATTCATTATCCTGCTGTCACCACTCCAAACCAGGATGTATCCACCCAGGATGAGCTGGGCTGTGACGAACTCCCTGTATACAAAAGTTGACAATGAGCTCCATGTACTCAACCACAAGGCAGCATCCTCACTCCAGGACTCTGTCCACAGCCCCCAGTTTCACCCAATAATCCCCTGGAGCAGCCCTAGATCATTGGACCACAAGGCAAGTAGCTACACAAACGTGGCAGTTTCGAGGGGAAGAGGGAAAGGTGATTTTTGGTCACACACAGACCACACTAGAAAACCTGTTGTGCTCCTACAAGGAACAGCAGAGTGGCAGAGCTGTAGCCAGCTCTCCTTGGCTGCCGTGGCACCACTGTCACTACTCACACATGTGGCATTTCCATTTGTATTGTGATTGCGGTCACTGAAAATGAACCAATGACTCAAGATACAAAGCAGCAATATACAGACCAGTCAGGATTCCAGGGCAAATGTGGGATGCCCACTACAGGCAGAGACCGTTTGCCACGTGAAGTGGGAAACTGGGCTCAAGTACTCACTGGGCTCATCCACCAGGCAGGGTCTCTTAGATCTTGGCCAGATAATGGCATGAAGCCATGGGTGGCTTTGTGTCATTTTCAAACAAAACACAGGGCCATTAGTGGAAGCCTTCAGTGAGTAAAAAGGAAAGCTTTCTCCCAACAGAACTGCAAAAGTATGCAGGAGGTAGAGAAGAGGCCTTACTGCCTGTCTTGGACATGTGGCATTTTCAGTAACAAAGCTTGGCAGGGATGCACCCAGTGAGGATGTGCAGATGGGAGGCCACAGGGTCTGGATCTGCTTTAAAACACTCCGGGTGTAGGGAGCAGGAGAGGAGCCGAACAACAAGATGGAGAGAACATGGTGTTGGTAAGAGGCTCGAGCTCAACATAACCTTCTTTCCATTTCTGTGTATATCTGCAAACCTCCATAAGAATGTTCCTTTTTTTTTCATTAAGTTTATTGGTACACTTTAGGCATACAATATGGTTACATTCATTATTGGGATCTTGTACCTTTCCATGACAGATCTTGGTTCTTATTTTTTTCCCCATTCCTCTGCCCGCCCTTCAACCCCTCCACCCTTCCCTATTTACAGAGACTTTGTTTCCATTTTTTCCTTTTCTCATATTTTTTCCTTTCCCTTCTTTCCTTTCCCCTACCCCTCCCACTTCCCCAACCCCTTCAGACCTTTTCTTCCTGTTTCAAATTATCAATTATACATTTTGATCCTTTTTTACACTTTTAGTTTCTCACACCAGAGAAACCATTCAGTATTTATTCATGTGTGTCCTGTTTATGTCACTTAAGAATATGGTCTCAGTGTACATCCATTTAGCTATAAATGTCTCTAGTGTCTCATTCTTTATGGCTAAGTAGTACTCCATTTTCTTTTTTTTAAAAAGCACATCTTTTTTATCCAGTGTCCAGGGGATGGGCAATTGGGCTGTTTCCATGTTTTAGCTATTAAAAACCATGCCACTACAAACATGAGTGTGCATATATCACCGTGGTATGATTCTTTTAATTCTTTGGGGAAGATGCCCAGTAGAGGAATAGCTGGGTCAAACAAGACCTCTAATCCTAGTTGTTTGAGGTATCTCCATACTGATTTCCACAGTTGTTGCACCAGTCTGTACCCTCACCAACAATGGAGAAGGGTTCATTTCTCAAGTCATTAAGAAGATTTAAAACCAGATACAAAGTTAACAAAGAAGGAAAATCATAAGCATGTATACATATACATGCACACAAAGATACACGTGTGTTGTGTGTATACCACATACATTATATATGAATGTATGCACGTTCAGTGGATGTATAACATACATATACATATATGCGTTGTACTCACGTATACAATAAAAGAAGGCAGAAGAGTTCTCAGTAGACATCTTTATCAGTACCGTAGTTCGTGGCCTTGGGGACAAGGAGATCCTGTTTCCAGGTGTCCCGCTGTCTGCCTCTCACCTGGACTCACATTTGCTAATGTGCCATGCTGGAAGTGACTCCTGCAATTGTTCAGTTCAAATATAAGAAGTGTTTGATGATCTTTTTTTCCTGTGTATTAATGAAAACCCACATGTAAAGGAAAAAATGTTTTAGTTTTTAATTTAGATCACAGTGGTCTTGTTGCATTATAGTAGGTGCACAGGGTACTTCCCAGAAGTAGCTGCTTATTCATAACCACTTGTCCAATAGAGAAGCAGACTAATGCTCCTACCCTCGATCTAGCTGAATCCCATAAGGTAGAGGTAATACACAGGACTTCCTGGGTCTGCAAAAGCCTTCTGGGTCTCCAGAAACTCACTGGCAGGACCTGGCTGCCATGCTGTGAGGAAGTCCAGGTGGGCCTGAGGACGAATCCCTAGAAAAGGACCAGTCTGGTGCAGCTCCCTTCTCTGCCAGGTGTGGGAGGAGGCAGCCAGAGAATGGATTGCAAACCCAGGCTCACCACACTTGCTAACACCCTTGAGGCTGAGCCAAGTTACCCACCAACTCGTCCCGGATTCCCAACTCAATCATGGGTATAAAGGAAACCACTGTTTCAAACCACAAAGTACTGAGATGGGTTTTCCTTGGCTAGAGTTTGCTGGGACAGGTGTCACGCTAACGGAAGGGAAGGCACCGCTGCCACTCACCTTGCTTTATGCCCCTGGAGTTGTTCAGGGCAGCTGTGGCCATGATGCAGCTGGACGAATGACAAGCCACTGCCATGTGACCCTGCAGCAGGCTGGCCAGAAGAGAAAGACCCCCTCCTGGGGGCTTCCAGGCAACAGCTAAGATCAAAGTATCTCTTCCTGATGCCCTTCAGGCTCAGAGAACATTTCCACTTTTCATTCAAGGAGTTTGTTCCTGGTGCATATAATCAATAAATTATTTAATAATAAATAAAAGTTTTATTTTCTAAATAATTCTCAGAATAAGAGATTAGGGTTTTTAGCAGGGCAAACTGTGGGACAAACAGCTCAGCCTCTGAGACTTTGACGCTTGCCTAAATTGGGATGATTTTCTTCCATTAGCAAAGAAAAATAGATAAATTATTGGATTTTTTGGTGGGGAGGCAGTACAGTACTTGAGATTGAAATCAGACCTTTCACATTGAGCTACATCTCCAGCCCTCTTTTATTGTTTGTTTTTTAGATAAGGTCCCATGAAGGTGCTTGACTTGAACTGGTGGTCTTCCTCCTGCCTCAGCTTCCCCAAATGCTGGGATTATAGGCATGCACTACCACATCCAGCTTACTGGATACTTTTTAAAGCACATACAAATACTATAGTAGAATTGATAGTAACCAGAGGGGACACAGGGCCCAGACACAAGTGGAAACACTTGGCATCCAACCCCCTTCAATGTGACAGGCTTGATGTAGCACCCACATAACACTGAATGCAGCTCTCTGGAGTATCTGTATGATTTCTGGACACATGTCCAAGTATATTAATCCATATTTTCTTATATCACAAAATACCTGAGGCTGGCTTATGGTTTGTAACTAGATGTCCCCCTAAAGCCTCATGGGATCAAGGTGGGAAACCTTTGGAAGGTGACTGATTATGGGGACATCATAGCTGACTTGCTGTTAGAAGATGGAGCCTGGTTAGAAGAGCTAGTCATGCTGGGCATGACCTAGAAGGTTATAGCTCCCTTCCTGGCTCTTCCCTTGATACTCTCTGCTTCCTGGAGGCCAGGAGGTGAGCAGTTTTCCTCTACCCAGGATCTTCCTCCATAGCATTCTGCTTTGGAGCCAGGCAACTATGTAATGAAACCTCTACAAACTGTGACCCAAAATGACTGATCCTTTGCTCCTTTAAGTTTTGAGTGTCAGATATTGGGTCTGAGTGATGAGAAATTGACTAAGACAGATTTTGGTACCAGAAGTGGGGTCATTGCTGGGACTATATCTAACTGTATGGTTCAGAAGCCTTTGGAACTGGTTTACAGGAGGAGTTTGGAAAATATTGGAAATGTTGCCTGGGGAAGCAGCCCTAAAATGCTGTAAACTAAGCTTGATGAGAGATTCAGGTCAAGGCTCAGAAAACCAGAATGCTGATAGCAATGCAGGTGTCAAAGGCCAGACTCAGGAGGTTTCAGGTGGAAACTAAAACCTAGATTCCTGGAGTCAAAGGATTCCACTGGCAGTTGGATTCCAGGACATATGTATTCTCCATCAGCAGAAAATTTGTCTACATTTTGCTCATGTCCTAAGACTTTGTGGGAGACTGAGATTAAGGACAGCAAACTAATTAATCTGACAGAGGAAATTTCAAGGCAGCCTAATAATATTAAGGCTATAGCATGGATACTGTTGGGGGTCTTTCAACCAGCTCTATGTTTAGAATCAAGAACAAACAGCACAGATGAGTGATTTAAAAATTTTTGAGTTTGGCTAGAGAGGAAACTTGGGCAAAGTTGGGGTCTGCAAAGCTGGAGCAGAGGAGAGCTTTGTTGCTGAAAAGATTAGCTTTAACAAGAAGCCAAAAACTTTGGATCAGCACAATAGGAAAAATAACTTGAAAGCACATCAGGAAGCAGCAAGACCCCACCCTTCACTCTGTAAAAATGAAAGACTGCTTTGAGAAGCCTGAGGACCCCTACTCAAGAATGGCCACCTAGGGAATGGGTACCCTGGGATTCATTTCACAGCACTCAACTGTCCAGGCACTTAGAGACCTTAGGCAACCATGGACCAAGAGGGTCTGGCTCCTACTTAAGCTGGTGGCAGATCTTAGCATCATCTACATGGTGTTAGTTTTATAGGCATACAGAATTATGATGTCAGAAAGGATTTCTTTCTGATTTTGGAAAGAGGCCTGGGAGACCAGGCATTGTGCTCCTGAGAAGGCAGTGTATAAAGCTGTGAGAGTGATGGAAACCTCAGGAAGTGGGAGAAACCACAAGGAGGAAATGTCTGAGGAAAGGCTGCAAGGAGTGAGCAAAATTAGTCGGAGAGAGAGGCTATGAGGGCTACAACCACTAGTAATACTGTAGGGGCAGGAAAGCCTAAGCCCTTTGGAGTTCACATCACACGTATTGCTACAACCTGCCCCAGATGCTGGACATGAAACTACAAGATGAAATTGCTGGGTTTCAGTCTTACGCTGGTCCCTGCTGGGTTTTGGTCTTACTCTGGTCCCATTAGTTTTTACCACCCTATTTCTCCCTTTCTCCCTGCGCATTGTATTTTGGCAGTTATTAATTTTCTTTTTTATTTTTATAGGGCCTCACAGCTAATAGTTTGCCTTAAGCCTCCAAGGAAACTTGAAACTTGGACCTTTCAGCAATGCTGGGACTGTTAGGACTTTGGCAACTCTTAGAGATGGACTAACTACAATTTGCATAAAGAGATGTTCTTGAGTCTTTTGGGAGGCCAGTGGTTTCTATCTAGATGTCCTCTTTAACCCTCATGGGATTATAGGTGGAAACTTTGAAAGGTGATTAACTATGGTAGTATTCTGGCTGACTTGTTAGGAGGCAGAGCCTGGTTGGGAGAGGTGGGTCACTGAGGGCATGGCCTATAAGGTTGTATCTCCGCCCTTCCTGGCTCCTTCCTTGACACACTGCGCTTCCTGAAGCCATGAGGTGAGCAGCTTTCCTGTGTCCAGGTCCTTCCACCATGCTGCTCTGCCTTGGAGCCAGCTGTGAACTGAAACCTCTACAAACTGTGTGCCAAAATTAGCCTTTCCCTCCTTTAAGGGATAGGTGTTGGGTATCGGGTCTCAGTGATGAGAAAGTGACTAAGACACTACCCAGTAACTTTTTTTTTTTTTTGGATTTTTTGAGACAGCTGTAGTTG